AGGGCATTTCTACAGACACCACAAGACTGAAATGGTTAGCTATGAAAGAAGAACCTAGCAACTTCTAATTAAAATCCAAGAGAAGACCAATTAGTCACTTCAGACCAATCCGGTGTTGTGTGATCATGTCTCACAGAAGTATATTTCAAAATATTTCCTGAAATATCCAGTGCTGCTTCTTTCTGTATTTGCCTACATAAATGTGAACAAAGCCTGAAAAAGAAGTTGGGCTTCAGGGGAAGAAGACAGACAGACAGACAAACCAAGCCTGACCAAACATCCCTTACTCTAGGTCCTGTTTTACTGACTGGGTTTGTGATGGGACCGTTTAAATTCTGACGATCTGGCTGTTGTTGCTGCTGGGTATCAGACTTTCCTAACTCTTGCTACTTGTTCCTTTCACGTTGCCCTGTAAATGCCAGCAGAGGCTGTTTTCTGTAGCTGCACTTCATGGATCATTTCTATTATAATAAGGTTTCTGCTGCACCGCAGGAAGTAATATTTCCTGCAGGATAAGCAAAGTTGTGTTGGTGATATTGAGAACCTGTGTTATGACTTCACAGCAGCTGTCGTGGCTGCAAATAAGGAACTAGTGACCAATTGTTTGACGTTGGCTTTTATTCTAAGTTGCCACACACAATGTTCCCTGGTTTTTCCATGCACACACAACAGTGGGAGGCCTGCTTCCTCTGTGATTTCAAATATATTTTTCTATATTGTTGTTTTCTCACATTTCTGCATTGTTGCCACCTCTTAAAATGTTCAGATGCTGATGAGTGTGTGAAAATTTCGGGGTTGCAAAGGAAAAACACATGCTCTGCAGCTTAATGGAGCCCTCGCTGTCGGGTCTGTGCGTGTGCACTTTGAGCTGAGAAGGAATTACAGGTCTATAAATCCACAAAGTAACTGAGTAAATTAACCACTTCACAGGAGCATTAGAAGGTCTTTATCATGGGGTTTCTCAAGCTTCTTGTGCGAAAAATGTTATAGATTGTTGTGTTATTGTTCCAAATATATTTTTCTATATTGTTGTTTTCTCACATTTCTGCATTGTTGCCACCTCTTAAAATGTTCAGATGCTGATGAGTGTGTGAAAATTTCGGGGTTGCAAAGGAAAAACACATGCTCTGCAGCTTAATGGAGCCCTCGCTGTCGGGTCTGTGCGTGTGCACTTTGAGCTGAGAAGGAATTACAGGTCTATAAATCCACAAAGTAACTGAGTAAATTAACCACTTCACAGGAGCATTAGAAGGTCTTTATCATGGGGTTTCTCAAGCTTCTTGTGCGAAAAATGTTTTAGATTGTTGTGTTATTGTTTTTTTTTTTTTTTTTTTGCCATTTTCTTAGTGAAAATCTGTTTTAATAAGGGACTCAAAGTCGGCTGAGATGCAATGACTTGTTTTAAGCAGCGGTTCCACGGCAGCGGGAGCGTAGCCATGGTTTGAACAGGGAGTCAGAGCCTGGCTCCTATTTCTGGCTTTTTGGTGGTTTTGTGTCCGAGGGCAAGGCCCTCAATCACACTGCTCTTCAGGTTTCACATTTGCAGCACAGGGATTAGAATCCTTCCCTGCGCAGGAATGCTGGGAGGATTATGTTCTGGTTTGTTTTGAAAGCCCTTACTTGGAGTTGTATAATAATAAAACCTATTACTGGCAAAACTATTAATTATAATGTAATAGGTAGATTCAATACATTTCATTACATTGAAGGTAGAGAATTTTGAAAATATAGGAAGTAATATTACGTTTTCAGAGAGTGTCTGGAACAGTACTGGGGAAGGAACCTAGTGTAGGATTAAAATGAAATAGAGTTGACAGTTTTTACCAGTAGGGATATGAAAAGCAGAAGAGTCTTGCAAAAATAAATGGATTGTTTTGAGTATTTTAAGGCAGCTTGTGGCAAAGGGGTCACTGGGTGTTTCTCCACTGGTCTTTGGGCTGAGCTGTGGTAACAAGGGGTGTTGGAGCCTGAAGGAAGGTTATTATGGTGAGCCTTTTCCTCCAGTTTCCATGCCCTGTATGAGCTGGGCAATTCCTTCCAGTTCCCTGCATTTCCCGGGGCCAGTAACAGACAGAGCTGTGTTTTGCCCCCGGTGGCTTTAGGGGCAGCAGGATCAGAGGAGGGCAGTGACAGCAGATCCTGGTAAGGGGTGGAGAGACTGAAGCAGTTTGAACAGCCTGAAAAGATTGAAAAGACTAAAACTTCCCGGCCTGGAGGTGTCTCTGCCCAAGCAGAGTGGTTAAAGCAGCCTTCGTACTGCTGCCTTCAGGACAAAGAAAGGGTTTGGAATAAAAATGACTGTAACTTTCTGTACAATTCAATTCCACATTCTTCACAAATGCTGACATGTCATTTAATCATTATTCAAAAACTATCTTACGAGGATGCATTCTAAAACAAGGAAGCAGATATTATAGATCATTGTATGTAATTTATTTGCAAAGAACAGAATCCTCAAACCTTCTACCAACGGTATTAACTCTGAGCCTTTACTTTTCCTGTGGTTTGTGGTAAAACAAATCCAAAAGCAATGCTCACGTGACCAGAAAATTTGGATCCTGTTCTTTCTTGACAGAGACTTCAGAAAGAGACACGTAGAAGAGGCTTTTCAAGAGCAGGCTGGATTGACCCAGCAGAAATCCACAGAGAAGGGTGGGACGATAGGCGGGATTCCATCTCTAGCAATTTGGTATTGTTACCAATTCAGTGGGTTTTAATTACTGTTGTTAGGTTCTGTCCAGATGTTCAGAGTGAATAGGCTGAAGTCAGCCTTTTCTCAATAACTGTTGTTGAAAAACTGCTGCAGGCTTTCAAGCACTCCCAAGAATAAAAGAATCAAAGACAAACTGTAGATGCCATTACCCGATCTGCTGTCTTGCTCACATCTTTTGTGTACTTTAAACTTTATAGGAATCTTTGATAAAAGCATACAAAATGATTCAAAATCAGAACTTGAAAGCAAATCTGTATTGCTTTTTACCTCGTCTGAAAAATGAAGGCAGTCTTATATAAAATATGCTTGGGAGAAAATCATGGAAATAGCCGTTTCAGAGTAAAAAGACTGATCTTAGTCATAGTTAGGTAATGGCTTCTAATTTTCTTTGTTGCAGATAAGAAATAACAATAATTATATTCCAAACCTGCTTTTCATTTCTCTTTGGGATTAAAATACCTTCTCCACAACCATTAAAGTGGATACAGGCCGCGGTGCTGGTTACCTGTCACAAATCACATCTCATAAAAACAGGAAACCTAACATTGTTTGACTAACTCCACCAGCACTGAGCAACAAAAAGAAAAGTAGTCAAGGGATTTTGGTGTGATGTTTTAACAATTTTGAATGTTAAAACCTGTTAAGCAAGTGTTACAGTGTCTGTGTTAATAGAATAATATTTGGGGTAATACCAAGTGCTTAAAGGAACCATATTTTTAAAGACAGTAAATCAAACTGTAACTGGGTCAAAATAGTCAGATCATTTTCTGTTTAAAGACTCCCTCTTGTGGAAATCATTCTCACTGACTTGTTTTGACCTATTTTTCTAGTAAAAGTCACTCCATATAAGGTATTGCAAAACTTGAAAACGGTTGTGTTGCACGGTGTTATTTGTTTAAAAGTTAGAATCCTGACAATAACTGACAGGAGTTGTACCAGCTGTAGTAGAATGTGGATTTTTTATCTTTGTACTGAGTCCTTGCTTTTTAATACTTGGAAATTAATTTATTTATTATGTAGATGGAAAAAAAAAAAATATAATTGTTTTTCACCCTGTGTCAGAGGCTTCTGGCCAGGTGAGGTGGGGAGCGGCGTCCCTCCCTGGCAGGGGCTGAGTAATTAATGGGTGGTGACTCAGGGAAAGCAGAGGATTCCCCGTCCATCATCGCGCTAATTAGTCATGCTAGTCATGCAGACAGGACATGCCCATTCTGGAAAGAGATTTCCATAGGAATGTTAATATCAGTGGCATGTTGCCTGATGGGAAGGGGCAATGTGACTCTTGGACACTGATCCACAGCAGAATTTGAAGCTCTCCATAATGTGTGGGACTGAAATAAAATCTTTCCTGCCTTGTAGCAGCCTGGTGGGAGAGGAACTCACGTTATTTAGAGTTAACATCTAATATATATCTGGGCAGGAAGAACCATAAGGTCTTTTCAACCGCACTTAAGCCCTAATCAACTCTCAATTCTAAAATAAGTAGAATCCCCCCACTTGGTTTGATTGAAGCCCGTGTTTCTGTGGCACCCAACCTGTGGGGGCTGTTGGTTCTCCAAAGCCAAGTCACGGGGGACACGGGACACGCTGCCCGGCCGCGTCTCCCTGCACAGGGACTGAACTGCAGGCCCGAAAACTTCCCAAAAAGACGATCTCGAAGGAGTTTCGGTTACACGTGATGTAAAACTGAAAATCTGAGCATTAACCTGGAACAGCAGGACTCTTCATTTTGAATGTTCGAACCCATCTGCTTCTGTGAGTTCTGTGCCCGCGTGGGGCACGTTGGGTGTTGAGCTGAGAATCTGGGTAAGTTTATTGAATCGGAGATAAATAGAATCCTTCACAACGTTATTTTATTACATCTTTTTCATCTCCCGAACCACTGATTTATTTTTTCTGACTCCCGTGAGCTGTGCCCAGTTGCGCATTTTTCGGCCTCTCGTCCCGCCTGCCGCGAGCGCTTAAAAAGCCTATTTAAAAAAAAAAAAAATCAAACTCCGCATCAACAAGCGGGTTCCGGCCTTTCCCAGCACCTTGTCAAAGTCCCGAGACACAATATATTGTACCGGGGGGAGCGGATCTCTCTGCCGCCCCCGGGACGTTCCGCGCCGGAGCCGCGCTCCCCCGGTACCTGCCGCCCGGCCCCGCCCCGGCCCCGCCCCGCCCCGCGCGCCGGCGGGGAGGCGGGGCGGCTGCGGCGCGCGGCCTCGGCCATTGGTTGAGGCGCGGCCTCTCGCGCCCACCTTTGTGCAGCCCCGGCGCCCGTCGAGAGTGGGAGGGGAAACCCCGTGCGAGGGGCGCCGCCATCTTGGATAAGGGGGGTGATGGGGGCGCAGTGGAGCCAGCGGAGCCGAGCCTGAGGGAGCCCGGAGAGAGGCGGAGACCCGGCCCGGCCGTCGCCCAGCCCGAGCCAGAACGCTACAGTGCCCGCAGGGGGGGCCAGGGCTGCCGCCGACAGAGCCACGCTGCACAGTCACCCGCTCCCCGAGCCCAGGTACGGAGGAGCCGGGGAGGGGCGGCCCTCCGCCCGGCCGGGCCTAGAACGCTAGGCCCCGCGCCTCTGCCCGGCCGCCGGCGGGCTCCGCTGGGGCGGGCGCGCCGCTCCCTTCCCGGCAGGGCCGGGGCAGACGCCCGGCCGCCACCCGGCCCGGGTGGTGACGCTTTCTCCCGGTACTGCCTGGCGCTAGGGCCTAGTCGGCGCCGCGCCGCCCGTCAGTGTGCCGCTGCCCACCATCCAGGCGGGGCGGGCCGGCCCCCGGCCTCGGCGGGGCTGGCTGCTCTGGGGCCCGGCGGCGGGCGGGAAGGGGAGGGGGCCGCTCGTCAGCCTGGGGCCGGGGAGGGCGAGGCCGGCTGGGCCGGAGCTAGGCCGCTGCTGTACTGTTTGTCGCCACCGCCTCCCGTTCCTCCTCTGCACTGCACACTCCCTGTGTGTCACGCCACCATCCAGTACTCGTGCATATGCGGGGTGTATATATTTATATATGTGCCCCTTACTAATCGTTGCAGTTGCACATAGGGTGTTTACTGCATGTATATACTATACTGTGTGTGTGGCTGATACGCAGTGTTATCTGCACTCTTGATTCTTATATTGACCTGTGCTGTCATGAACTTGGACAGAAAAATAACTTCCATGAGGGCGGGGGGGAATGCCACTTCGTTTTGAGAAAGCAACAAAAGTATTTTAGGCTAGTTTTCTTTTGTCAGTGCTTATTCAGGGTAAATGGAAGAGGGAAGTTGTGTCCTTGCCTCTAGTTGTCCATTGCCTGTTTGCAGTATGCTCAAGGTTTCCATAACGTCTGCAGGTAGCTTTGTCTTGAATTAAATTGTACTGAATTATCCTTGCAGTAAAGCCGGGGAAAGGTGTTTTGTCTGCGTTGATGTCTCTCTGGCTCTGTTCCTCTCGAGGTTACTTGATGTGGACTTTGCTTCCTGGGCCTCTGAAACAGAATGGTTCTGTGTTGTTGTATGACACTTCTTCAGAGAGGTAGAAGTAGCCCTTTGTGAATGAAATTTACTCGGGTTGTCTATATCCTAAATCATTTCAAACCCCCAGAAATCTAGTAGCCAGATGTTATCATATGGAATTGTTTTGGGGATTGATTTCTATCATGGTTTGGATTGAGGGCCTCTTGTGCTTGGGCTTTACTCAGGAATGGGAAGAAAATATCAACCCAGGGGGACTTAATAACGTAATATCACATAGTTTAATATAGATTAAAAAGGAATTTGCTAGCTTCCTGTAGGGATTTGAAAAATGTCATAAATCTTGAGTAGAAGGAAGAAGTTTCTGTTTTCCATTTTATGAATAACAGCGACAACAAAGTTATCATGAAGGACAACAGTTTGAAAACAAACCTGTTATACTGGAGGTACTAGGATTTAAAATGTAAATAGATCTTTTAAAATTACTTGCTTACTCCTGTGCATCTAATGGAACCTGGTTATTATTGGTTCCCATTTTGCTATGTCTTTCTGAAACAAAGGAGGTAAACCTTGCTTAATTTTGTTCTAAAATGTGTTTGTGACTTGTTTTCCAAGGTGATGACTTCAGGCATGTTGTTCTGATTTGTTAGACAACAACATTCTTCTGGTTTCTTTATATACTGCCCCTGAACTTATCAGGTATCTCTGGAACTTGGTTCTCCTGCTGGAAACACAGCTTTGTGCTACAGGTTAGACTGTTTTATAGGAAGAGGAAAAGAGGATAAATGAGGATGTACAAGAGGATAAAGAGCTATGGCTGAGAGAGTGGACATGGGAGAAAGTGCTCTTAGTGCTGAGGACAGGTGTGCAGGATTTAGTGGAGTGTGGTGCTAGGGTGTGGTCGGTAAGAAATGAGGTGTGTGTGTATAAATGCAGGAAGTTTAGGAAACAAAATGGAGGAACTTAATGGAGCAGGATGTGAAACCATCAAAAGGATAACCAACACCATGTGTGTGTGACTGCATAGCTGTTGAGGGAAATAAAGAAGTGAAGGTAGTATGATACAGAGCCTTGATGTAAAAATAAAGTCAAAGCTCTTCCTATAGGAAGAGAATTGAAGGCCTGTGAAGTCTTTAGAAACACTGACCAGGCCTCAGGCTGAGCTAGGTATTGTAGGTGATTAATGAATATAGCAAACCCATTTCTTCAAGACCAGCTTGAAAGGGGGCTCTGCACAGCTGAAGCTTGTTAATTTGAGCCCAGTAGCAAGCAGCCCTGTGTGCCTTCGGAGCAAGACTATCCGGACATGGAAATAAGGAAATGCAAAGTGATCTTCAACAGCAGATCATAAGAAGGTTGCTGTCTGATCAAAGAGCAGTTCAGCCAAATCTACAGTCTTGTGCTAATCAGGTGCTTTAATGAAATCCAAGCAGGGAAAGCAAGAGAGGATGACTCTGGAAGAGCTGCAGAATGAGTAAGGAACCGGCCAGCAACAAGTAATGTTGTCAGATGTGCAAGAGAAAGCACTGGGCTGCTGACATGCTGCTGCTGAGACCTCTCAGGGATCAGCCTCAGAAGAGGGCTTTTTAAAGACAAGCCAGCAAAATAACAATAAATAGCAGGCCAGGGAGGCTGTGGGGCCATCATCTGAAAGAGGGCGGAGATGTTTACGTGTTTAGGAAGACCTTAATGTCCTCAGTGTGTGGAAGTTACAGAGCCACAATGAAATTTAATTGTAATAGACCTCATAGCTTGCTGTGGACAAGACTTAATGGGAATTCATTGCTTGGGTGTATTAATTGATAACAAAACTGTTACTACATTCCAGTACAGTGGGATTTTTACAGAAGACCACAGCTAAAGCAATTACGCTGTATTTCTGGCAACTCTCGAAAGTAAGGTACCAGTTAGACTGTGGTGTTTTGTGTGATTGACAAAAGTCTTCATTGGGGGAATAGTGCAATTATTAATTGAAACAATTTTACCTCTCCCCAGTTTCTCCCTTTATATTGATCTCTTCTCTGTGTTTACTGTTTATTAACATCCAAGTAAATATGGGAAGAGAAGGAAGATTATGCCCTAAGAAAGAGGAGAGCTGCCTATTCATTTTGTGTAGAGATTTGGAAGCTGTTCTAAATAATAGTCATTGGTTCCATACAGTTCCCCTTGTACGCAACTAATACTTTCTTCCAAATAAAAAAAACCCCACAAAACTAGCAGCTCTTAAAAAGTAATTTAAATTTATGAAAGCAATGATATGATGGCATTACCTTTTGTGTAAGGGAACTGGACTTCAACGGTGAGATCCTTTCCTGTTGCATGTCCTTGAGGAATGACTGACAGAAGGCCCGGAAGGCCAGATGTAATACAAAATGCCTCTTGCTTCAGTCTGACTGAAGAGTGGCTCTCTGGCTGCTGAGTGGTGTGTCTTTAAGGGGAATCTGCAAGAATTACAGTCCTGAATTTAAAGCTGATAGCTGTTTTCAGAGGTATCACCTCTGTGGATTTACGAAGTGATGGTATTAACTATGTGCAGTGTCTAATGAAACCTGTGCATACAGGTTCTGGTCTCTTCTAATAAAATACCTGCTTTTTGCTGAGCGTAAAGCTCTGAAACTTCTCTATGGAAAGGATGTCCAGTGAAGAGTTAAAATCGACTACGTCCTTGAGTTGAGCTGGAAGGAACTCCATGGGTCTCAGGAAAGCTGGTATGGATATAATATTTACAGTTATGTTATTCTGATAAAGAATGTTACAGCAACGTGCCTAGAACAACCTTGGCTTGATTTGTACAGACATATGCTGATACCTGAAATAAGGCTTCAGTGAGATGTCAGAATACCTGGGTAGTGCTGTTGATGAGAGGAGCAAATACAGGTGTAGTAGTATATCATTAAGTAAGATCATCTTGCAACTTTATTAAAAAAAGAAAAGCCTCTTAAGGGAGAAGTGGATGTACAGAAAATGGACTATGGTGACACTGTTCACTGTAAAATTTCTAGTCCTAACTGTAATACAGAAATTAATTGTACAGGCTTTGAAACTAGCAGAAATCTGTGTATAGTGAAGCAGGATCCCTTAGTTAGTTGCCATCCTGAAGTAATGCTCTAAACTTCAGGGAACCCTTACCTTGAATAAGCAGCCAAAACTTGTTTGAAGTTGGCAGACTTTTCCAGAAGAAAGATGGCAGGGAGAGCAAGCTTCCAGACTAAACTTCTTTTACTTTGTTAACAGTAAATTCACAGTTGGTTAACTTTGATGTCATACTGTATGTACAGTGTCAGCAGGGGTTGGAGGTAAGTTGTGTATATTTATGTGGAGCTTTCTCAGCCCTACAGTTCTTGCACCTTCGCTCTCCCAACAGGAAAACCCCAAACCCCCTTATTGTGATTATTAAGATTCATGTGGCTGGAACAGAGGGCTGTGAAGTGTAGGTAGGACTCTGGTTTTTACAGACAGCTCGTGCTGTCAGCATTTATTTATTAACCCCTTGCATTAACATGTAGCTAATATTGTTGTGTTTACTGAATCCTGTTGTGCACTATTCTTGTCTGGACTTCCTCCTTTCGTCTGGAGTAGATGCTGAGATTGTAAGTTTTCTAAGGCTGAATTCTCGCTGTGGCTTCTGTGTTTAGTTTGGTGCATTTTTTCCCTTTTACCACAGAGTCTTTCTGGAATATCACTTTTCTGTCAAGATCTGAGTGCAGTTTGGATTCCTGCTTGTCCATGTTGGATTTGAGTGTTTAAAAGTTTGTTATTTGGTTGGGTGTGGGGATTTTCTTACATTTTTTTAAAGAAGTCATCTGTTCTCCAGAAAAGATTCCTGACCTTTGTAATAATTTGGAGCATTTCAGAATCTTTTCTGTAACATGACCCTTGGAATAAAATGTAATACCGAAGTGTTGCTTTATTTCTCAGTTTAACTCCAGAAATTGTTCTTAAACTTAATATCTGTGTTTCCACAAGCTTCCAGGATATATTTCTATCAGACACAATGACTACTCCAGCAACTCTTTGGGACTTGAGAGAAGGTCTAGGCTCATCTTACGTGTTAATTTCTCCATCAATATTGCTGTTCATGATCTCTTTCCCCTCTCCTGTGGGGAGTGTGTGTGCTAGGTCTGGCTGCACACAGTGGGGTGTGGGGTATCTGTCACCTCCGTTAGGGGCCTTGTGGCACTAAGAACAAGCGTGAAGTTTTAGCAGTGAGATGTGGCTTGAGGTTAGGGCTCCCTTCCCACCCATTTCTTAGCAGACTTTGTTGCCAAGCACAGAATTTGATTTTCTGACTCTCGCTTTGAAGTGAGAACTGAATTTGATGCATATGTTGCAAAGCACTGACAGTTCCTTTTATATTGAAATAGCATAGTTAGATTTCTTTACTTAAAGAGTATAATGAAAATTGACATATCTTAGCAAGCAAAAACCAGTCTGTCAAATAAACAGAGATGTGTATTTAACAGTAAGGATTCTACTTAAACTCACTTCGAATTCAGTTTGTGGTATAGCCTGCACAAAGTTCCCAGTTTGTCCTGTCTTTAAAAAAAAAATACTCACAGGTTTCTGTAAGTATTTCTAAGTACTTACCATTCCTTAGGCAGCTGATGAAGGAAGATAGGGTCACCTGGGTTTCTGCAGGATACATTTCAGAGCCACACGAGTGGTTCTCTATCATGGAGTTTACAATACTGAATTTTTAAAAAAAAACCAGTGTAAGTTACTAGATACCATCTTCAGAATGCACCGTGGATCTTTCAGACAGATGCATGTTACTGCTCTCTGTGTCTTTGCCTTTATTGTGGCTGTAGGACCCACCTATTTTCTGTGGAGAACAGTACAGTTCATGTTATCCTCCTGAAGTACTTGTACAAGTAAGTTGGCCTCTTCAAGCTTTTTTTTGGGTACTTTCACTTACATGCCTTCTAATCCTCCAGCTCAACCTTGTCTGCTCTCAAACTGAATTGAGCCATGACCATAGTCCTCCTGCCTTTCCCGAGACACCAAGTCAAGGATCCTGTAAGAACAAGTGCATTGGATCAGAAGGTGCTCAATTTGAATGTTACTGCTATTGGGACAAGCTGGAGAAGAGGAAGAACATAATGTGTTAAGTGGTCTTCAGAAAATGTGAAGTATTGGATGTTCCCACAGCAAGATGTTAATTTTGAATTCTGAGGAGCAGTTACTTGTCTGTTTGCTGATGTTGAAAATAATCAGTGCACATACTGAAGCTGGTACTATAACTCTGGAACCTTCCACTCCAGGAAATAAAGCAGTGAAGCTGCTGCCTTGCTTGGTGAAGAGCAGTGAATTTTTGGTCTTGAATGTGAATTCTTGCACAGTACAGCAATAAGAATTGGTCTGTCCACTGTGTGGTTATTTGCCAGAGAGCGAGGAGGATGAAGGTGCTGTAGGACAGCTGCATCCAATTTCCCTCTACTGTGGCAGAAGAGATTCCTCTAACATTTTCTTGATTGAAACGACTGTTCTTGGAACCTGTGCAGCACTTGTGGAATTCTGTCTTGCCAACATACACAAGAATTACTGCACAAAATCGTGTTTTGTTTACTACCTTGGATTAAACTTGGTTTAATAGAACTCTCTGTGTGTGTATATATGTAGGACTTAGCGTGGCTGCTTTGCACACTGCTGGGGGTGAAAGGACTTGACAGTTTCTGTGAGCCAAGGAAGGGAGAGGTGCAGACCAGTGACTGGCACATGGAAAACCCTTCCCAACCTGTGGAATTGTTCCCCTCCAAGGTCTAGATAAGAGCGTTTGCTTTAAACCTCTGCTGTGGGCAGTGGTGGCTGGTGGCTGCCTTCTGTGAATGAGATTTGGTGTCACTCACCTGCTTTCTTATGACCACAGTTCACTGTTATGGATTAATTGTGGTTGAGGAAACAATACTTTGCTTTTGAAAAAGTTACAGGCTTGTAAGCTTTCCTGCGTTTTTCTTTCTTTACAGTGCTGGTTTCACTTGTCATGTGAATGACACATGACTGAATGAAAATCTTTCTAGGCTAAAGCGTGTTCTTTATTAAAAAGTGCTGTGTTTTTCTAATGGCTGGCTCTCTGCCATGCAGGAGAGGGAAAGGAAATGGTGAATTCCTAGCAGAAATTTTTCCACTTGATATAGCATGATCACTTGAACTAGTTTAACTTAAAACCTGGGATGAAAGCAGGCATTTTGCATCCTTTATATTATCCTTTATTATAATAACTGCAATATCTGGTCTGTATAGACTTGTAACCCTGGTTGACTGCTGTATTAGTTGCTGAGCCAGCTACTGCTCCTTGCAGGTTTACACAGCTGAAGCCAGTTCTGGTTCCTCCTACATCTAGGAAAACTCTGGAATATTGGAATACTTAACCCAATCTAATTCTGTCACTTAAAAAAGAGAAACTGCGAAGCCTTGCTGTAATGCCACGATGCTGACAAAGCCCCAGAGATGTAACTAACTTCCTGAACATCTGATTTGTGGCTTGAACTGCTTTTCTGACATGGAGCAGTCCAGACCCTAGTTAAGGCTACTACAGCATTCTTTTAAGTAATTCTTAGCTGTTGATGCAAGCTGTGTTCTTTCCTTTGTTCCTGTTGCAAGTCTCAAAAGTGAGGTAATAGTTCCCAATTTCTGGTCTTGTTAAACCTCTTCAGATTTTTCACTTGGAGTCAGATTTTATTTTCAGTTCATGTATCGTCTCTTTGGTGAGTGAACGCTGCTCCACTGCGTGACTCTGTACAAAGCAAGAAGCTACAGGAGCTTCTCAGCAGCTTTAAGTCTGTCTTTCTGTATAAAATGGAATGAGTATCCATGCTCCACAGTATATTTCTACTTTGAGGCCTTACGGGGTGCAGAGCAAACCATGTGGGACTTCTGCCAAATGTCCCTGGCACTGGTGCCTGTGGGGAAGTGCATAGACTTGAACTGTGATTGAAAAGACACTTGTGAGGGCAGGGGGAGAGGAAAGGTGTTTAGTTTGCTTCTATGAACTAAACTGTATGAATTGGGTTGAGTTTGGGGAGCGAGTAGCATTTCTGATGTGTTCTGTTTTTTTTGTTTTAGTGCCACAATGGCAACCGCACCTTACAACTATTCCTACATCTTTAAGTACATCATTATTGGTGAGTATCAATGAGTGTGTTCCCATTCCTGTCTGTCTGTGCATGACAGTGACCCCCAACCCTGGGGCTGTGCTGGGGGGACTCCTGTTGCATGTCACTCGCTATATGGTAGTGATTCCTGACCCACCTCGGTCCCTCGCAGATCACCACACTGCCTCTAAACCTTTAGCAACTGACAACAGCAGGGCAAATGCCTTTGTGTGCCCCAGAGCTAGAGCTGTGTGACTGGTGGCAGGTGAACTGGGAGTGAGGGCAAGTACCAGTGCCTTGATTGAGTTCACCTTATTGCAGAGTCACTGTTAAAAATATCTGTTCTTTGTTGTGTATATACTTGAGTATCCTTGAATATCGTCACTGTTAGAGCTATAATGCCTAGCCCTCTGCATAGCACTACAAAGCAAGGCATTCTAAAAACAGGTGCATGTGGTCCCTTTCTCCCTAAATCAAGTTTGTATTTACAAAAATTGCTAAATGCATTGGAAATGTGGGGGGAAAACTGTAGTGGGAATCAACACAACTGGGCTGTTGTGTTGGTTCAGGTTTACTATAGCACTTCCGACTGCCTCTGCATCATTAGTCTCAAAGGTTTTAGAATCTGTGTTTAAGACACAAGTACTAATTGGAATCCACTGCTTCAGATGGGCTTATAAACTTCTGTTAGGCTATATTTTTTCTGTTTAAATGCTTTTAGCTGCACCTTCCTTGGCTGTTTAGAGTCAGGGCCTTGATTGCATTTATTATTGTCCTGGAAGAACTGGTCTTGCTGTTCATTGTTTAACTCTTAATGATCTTGTGTAGGTGTAAGTGATCAGCAAACTAAGAGCTTCTAAGTCAGGCTGCTGTGATGACCTCAGCCTGAGGAAAAGTTGATTCTTAAAAGATCTTGCTATTTCTCGCTGTTGGCGTTGTGTAAGGGGACCCGTGGAAGTGAAGCAATTTCTCGGTGTGTTCCGTTTGGCCATCAGTGGTTTTGATGTCTTTATCAGTAACTGCAAGTAAGCCAGGAGCGGGGCAGGCATTCAAAAGGGGCATTTTACATCTTTTATTTCTTACAGGTTTGCTTCTCATAGAACCTTGTGAAATACAGTTGTAAAATTGGTAATACAGATGAATTTCTTCTGAGTTTTCTAGTCCACCCTTGCTCTGTACCTGTTACCAAAACTGTAGTGCAAAAGTTGATAAATTTACTGTCTGTAGCCAGGTACAGAGTATTGCCCACTGGGCCTGGGAAGGGAATGGCTGCCTGTTTCTGTGCCATTTGTTATGTGGGATGATGAAAATGTGCTTGTTGCAACAACGATGTGGTGTCAGCCTTAACTCTTCTTTCTGTAACAGGGGACATGGGTGTAGGAAAGTCCTGTTTGCTTCATCAATTTACAGAAAAGAAGTGTGAGTATTTCAATTCACAATATTTATTCTCACTGCTGTGCTCCTGCCCTCTTTCCTTCCTCTTTGCTTTCATCTTCATGAGCTTTATGTGGTGCCTGTCTCGAGCTGGATGGGTTTGTGTGGGATTTGGTCAGATTTTTGTTTTGACTCTTGCAGATGTGGAAATAAAATATTGCTGTAGTAATGGCCAAAGTGCTGCTTCAGCCTGTCCCGCCTGTGAGGAGTGGGAAGACCATGTCTGGTTTCACAGCTTTTCCAGGGGATCTTGATATAGAACAAAGTGAAATTTTGTGGCTGAAACTTACATGTTTTCAGTATTGGTATAGCTTGAACACAAGCAATTGGGAGGTGGTTTAGTGCTTTTAAGCACTTCAAAACAAAAATAAGATTCCATTTTTCTTTGCCTCTTTGTTTGCAGACTTACGTAGCGCTGTCATTCTCTGTAGGTGCTGTGCCTTGTGGTATTTGGGCTGCCCCGTGTGATGGTGTTTTAAGTCTATCTCAACTGTAATGATTTTTTACATATGCTGTCATGACTAATGAAGAATTGGCTTCAATTCTTAATAATGTGTGTTTCTTGGCGTTTGCAGTGGCTGCTGGCTCTTCCAGCTGTCTGTGCAGTGCTTGCTCAGTGGATAAGTCCCTGGGTATTTATTAGAACAAAGTTAGTCTTTACCCTGCGCTGCTCAAGATGTGACAACAAGTGGGTAGAAGCTCCAGTTTAAAATATTTCTGTTTTCCAGTAGAAATAGGATTATTTAACTGTTGCTTTTAATTGAAATCCAATTGTTTAGATGCTACTTTGCATACAGTCACATTCTTGATGTGGTTGTGCCTTGTTCTTAGTTTGTCAGCATCAAGCTGAAGCAATACAGCTGAACAAAGTACTGTACCAAACACCTCTGCTACAAGGCACTCGCTCACTGGAGGGAGCTTGAATGGCTGCTCATCCTTTATTTTCTTGATTGCTCTTAAAGATGAGCTTATTAAGATGAGTTTATTATAGCCAGAAAGGTGCCTTTGTGGTTTTGATCTGCTGTGTTGATAGCTACTTGTGAAACTGGCTTTTTCCTGTGGACAGTTATGCTGCTACCCTGTCTGAAACCACTTGGATATTTGTTTTTTGAAGCTGTTTTACAGACTTTTAACTGTATCTTGGTAATTCCCTAAAGTTATCTTTTCCTACTGCATTAAAATAGTTAACCGTTTCTGCAAGGATAGACTGAGAATCAACTGACTTGATCCCTTCTGATATTTATGGCCAAACAGCATCAGTGTACATGCATCAGAGAAGGCAAGGAATTTTATAACTGTTCTTACAACTAACAGCAGTTCAGGAAATACTTCACTTTGTGTCTGGTAGTGGCACAGTTTGGGTACTGTAGCTGTAAAAATGCTTTCTTAAAGACTGAAAACTCTAGTAAAGATAACTGAAAGCTGGTGATAGTAATATCTTTGTAGGAAGGAGACCTTGTACTAGAAAGGGCTGATCTTTGCTCTTATTTTTCATGACAGTTATGGCGGACTGTCCCCACACAATTGGTGTTGAATTTGGCACAAGAATAATTGAAGTTAGTGGCCAAAAAATTAAACTACAGATTTGGGATACAGCAGGACAAGAGAGATTCAGGGCTGTCACACGAAGCTACTACAGAGGAGCGGCAGGAGCTCTCATGGTCTACGACATCACCAGGTAAGGGGCCATGACGAGCTCTTTGGGTGCCACCTCACACGTGCTGGCCTGTTTGTCCCTTGACTTAGACTTAAAGGACTCTCTCTGTCTGGTTGGATATGTACTCTGTTGTGTGAAACTTACCATGCTTCTTTGTCTAAATACTTTTAAGTATATAAAGCTGCAAATGAAAGGTAGGGAATGAGGTGAGCTGGTTTGCTTGGAAAACGTCACTGCTGAGAGACCTGAGGATTTTGCCACTTCAGGCCTTGACTGCCTGTGGTGAAACTGTTTGAAGAACTGGCTTTCTCCTTAAAATTTACTCTTTGGTACATAGATTTTTCTCTTCCTGGGAGACAATGGATATTGCTGCTTACCTGGCAAAAACATGCTTAGAGGACAGAGTATTGCTTCTGCTGCAGTGGGTGGTGTAAATGTGCTCAACAGACGGGAGCACTGGAGAGTTTTGAGCTCTGGGCCTCTTCATGGGCTGGTCTTCCAACACAACAGACCACACAGAAGTGATTCTGCCTTCCTGTTATAGCTGAAAATTAAAGATACTGTGAAAGGAACAATTAATCGGATGTGCAACATAAAATACTTCTGCTTTCATATGTCTCCCATCTGCCTCTGGGACTGTTCTTGATATTCTTGATGCACCTTTTTTTTTTTCTTTTTTCCCTGGATCTCTAGGTATATCTGCTGTTTGCTTAAATCTTGAGTAAAACATAATCTTGTGTGCTTTCTGTAACCAAAGTGCTATTCTACCCTACAGAGCTCTGTAAGGGTGTCTGACGGGAACTCCTTTAATGTGTTCTGTACAAACCAGTATCTGTTCTCCTTGTGAAGGCAGTGAAACTGCCACAAAGTGGGAATTGCTCTGTCCCCCTGCGGTGTAAGAGTCGCTCTGGGGGTTGGAATCTTGATCTGAGTCCTGACAAGATGTTGCTGCTTTGTCATTCCTGAGGGTGGGGAGAAGAGCAGGGATGGCAGACGTCGGTGTGTTTGGATGCTGACTGTGCTGTTGGCACTTAGGTATTTTAAAAAATACTGTCCTTGCTTGATTCTTTGCAGAAGAAGTACGTATAATCACTTAAGCAGCTGGCTGACAGATGCAAGGAACCTCACCAATCCAAATACTGTAAGTTGGAACTTATTTAGCTTGAAAGCAGCATTGCAGATCACTGAGCAAGAGGTGGAAGGCTTGGGCCAGAGCACCTGCAGTGGCATCAGTGTTCTCTTAAATAACCTGCCCGAACTCTTAACTTTTGTTACCACATCTTTTTGCTTTGTGGTAGTACTGAGGTGAATGCTGTCACAGACTGGCAGATAAATTGCATTTCCAGCTAAAGCTGAGCAGGTCTTCTGGAGGGATGGGAGAAGGAGGTTCTGTGTCTCCACAAAACCACTGTACATCAGTCTTTTTCTGAATGCTCCTAAAATACTTCAGGACTCTTCGCTGCAGTGAAAGAAAACATAAAAGATTCTGGCTGGATTAGCAGATGATTTAACAAGTATAAGAAGTGGTTCCGAGTAGAACTTGCATGAATAAAGAGTAGGACCAACTGCTTTTTAGGACCTCATCTCCTGAGATGCTGTTCCTGAATTTCCAGAGGGGGCACGGCTCCAGCAGTGTGTTCCTGGAGACCAGTGGGGTTTGCAGTTAAATGGTTCTGCACGTTTCCTTCTTTTTTAATCTCTTTCAATAAAGAGGGTGGTAGCGCAAAAGCTAAGAGGCCTTTTCCCAGACTAACTTTCTCTCTTCTGAACCAGGTGATAATCCTCATAGGAAATAAAGCAGATCTGGAAGCACAGAGGGATGTTACATATGAAGAAGCCAAACAATTTGCTGAAGAAAATGGTGTGTTTTGGTTTTTTTTCCTCTCGAGCTGTTACATTTCCTACGAGATAGTGATGTTAAAGTGAGTGCTCAGCATTGGTAGCTGCGAGCTTACGCTGCAGAGGGAATGTAATTATACGTACAGGCTTCTGCTGCACCTCGGGTGGTCGGGCTTAACCCCAACTGCACTGACTTCTAGCAATCAGTGTGTGTGCTGATGCCTTCACTTAGTCAGAAAATACTGCTTTTAGTACTAAAATAGTGTCTTGCATGTCATCAGGGTCGTATGTGACTGGCTGAGGGCTGTCTGAGGTACGTTGTGCATTGACTGTTCAACCTCTGTTTCCGAACAGGTTTGTTGTTCCTTGAAGCAAGTGCAAAAACGTAAGTTACTTTGTCTGGGTGAGTGATTTGGATGAGATCTGTTTAAGGGGAATATATTGGCTGAGTGTAGCTGTGGGGTTCAGGTGTAGGAGGGGTTTGCAAATGCAAAAAGTGTTGGTTTTGATTTCCCTTGGAGAATGAGGTGTATGTAGTGGGTTCAGTCATATCAGCTTTGACTTGACTTGGAAATCAGACTTCTTGTGGTATTTCAGGTAAAGGCTTGAGTTCAAATGAACTGATTTGTTTTAAAGACATGCTTTGTGCACAGAATGTGTATGTGTGGGTGAGAGCTGCTCCCAGTTAGAGGTTCCTTCCCTCAGGTGTTTGGAGCTGTAAGTGAGCTCTGTCCCTTTGGTCATGGAGAGGAGTCTCTGCCCCGTGCTGGTGGTGGGCTGGGCAGCCTGTCCCAACATGGGAGATCCAGTGACACCAGTACATGTGGGTCCAGCTGGTGCCATGGAGCTCCTAAACAAAAAGGGGAGTGACTATGAACCAAAATCTGTCTTTTAACCTCTTTCAAAACCTCCCTGTGCCCGGGGCTCGGTGCCTGGGATTATTTTTGCGGCTCAGTGTTTTGGCCCGTAGGTTTTACCCCTGGCTAGTCCTGAGGGGTGCAATGGCCGGGGAGGGGGTGACCCTGCCAAAAGCTGTCCTGGGGCCAGGTCATTGCACTTGGTGCTGCTGGGAGCTCCTCGGAGGACGGGGGCAGTGACTGCTGGTGACCTGTGTCACCCAGAGGGGCTGGGCTGCAGCGGAGCCTCAGTAACTCCCGCTGCCGCTCTCTTTGCAGCGGGGAGAACGTGGAGGACGCCTTCCTGGAGGCTGCCAAGAAAATCTACCAGAACATCCAAGACGGGAGCCTGGATCTGAACGCGGCAGAGTCGGGTGTACAGCACAAACCCTCCGCTCCGCAGGGGGGGCGACTAACCAGCGAACCCCAGCCCCAGAGAGAAGGCTGTGGCTGCTAGTGACCTCTGCTCCCGGGCTCCATTCCTGACCTTTCACCTCTGTCTGCCGGAAGCGGGGCTTTTCGACCGCTTCCCCTGTCTTCTGTACATCTTACTGGGTTTAATTAAAACTCTGAGACAAGTTTAACACAGTACTAAACTGCTAAACAACTTTAGATGTAATCAGGTTATCAAAGGCAAGTAGAGTAATAAAAACCTCTCCTGCATGGTAAATCTAAAATTTTTTTTTTTTTTTTTCCTTGATTGTCCTTGTGATAGTGTCACCGATACATAATTTAAACTGAGCACCAATGCTGGACTCATGATTTTACACTTTTCGCAGGGCTTTTGTCTTGTACGGTTTAATTTTATGGTTCTTTGGCCTTTTCTTCCCCCCACCTCTTACCTGTGTAGAGCTGTCCCCTAGTGAAGGCTGCGTTGTTGCTGTGAGATGACTTGGGATGGGAGCGAAGGGGCTCTGTATCCATGGGCTTTGACAGAATTCCCTGTGGGGTGTGCGGGGGGGGG